AATTACAAACAAAATATATTTATAGCTTTTATTTTGTTTATGATATGGTATAAATTCGGCTAAATCGATCTGCAATAAATCATCAGGACTTTTAAGTACAACACTACGTCTATCGTAATGTGCGTCTAGGTCTATGTATTTCTTCCGTAATTTGTCTTTTAAACATTTGGTATTTTTTTGATTATACCCGCCTCGTATAATTCTTCATAAATTAATATAATTTCATTACTATGTGTATTATTGCTTGCTGCTTGNTACTATGTGCATTATTGCCTGCTGCTTGAGAAGCCAATAGTAATCTAAGACGGTCGCAGAGTTCGTCTGCGTTATTTCAATATTTATAGTTATTCGATATATTCAACGACAAAAGGTCTCTGTCTTCGACAAACAATTTACTATTAACTTCGTTATACTTGTAGCCATTTGTTTTCTTAATTTTTAATTTATTCGTTGTTAAGTGCGCAGAATTATGAACTCTATAGACATCCAAGTCACTTTTATCGTATGCGTTGGCAGTTTTGAAAATATTAACTGTATTAAACCGAGGGTCAATTGATATTTATTATTTTCTATTACCAGTTGAGCTGTTTTATAATTAATCTGTACAATTTTATTAAATCCCTGTATTTTTTCGGTGCATACGCTTTGTCCCATCATCATGAGCTAGCCAAGCCTCAACCGAGTCCATCATAGAAAATATCTGGTTTTCAGAATATCCACTAGAATTAGTGTTTTCAACATTTGTATTTTCACCCACAAAAAAATATTGAATACATAAATTATAATGTACGAGAAATTTAATTTTTAGATGAAAAAAAAAAGTGTGTAGTAATGGAATTGTTATAAAAATTATTTGACTATATGAATTAAAAAAAAAAAAATTTGTTCCTATATTAAAGATACCTCTAAAATTATCACAATTCATTAGCCTTATAAAATAATAATAAAATAACTGTGAATGTATCAATTTATTTAAGATACATTGAACAAATGACTTTTTCAGAGCAAATGTTAAAACTCGTACATGCGACATATCTTTCTGAAATTGTTAGCATAGTACAGCCAGTTTTTTTTTTAAATTTGCAAATTTATAGCGCGTACTAGTGACATAACTGTCTCGATATATCAAACTATGTACAGCCCGCTATTTTTATATTATAAGATTAAAGTCATAATATGTTTTGAAAGTGTAACATACATTAAAACAAACTTTTATATATCAATATGACTTTTTATAGGCTGTTCTCAAATCAAATTCATATATATATATATATACAGAGTGTTCAACAAGTAAGGAAACAAGCCAGTTGTTCGAACAATATAAACCCGTTTCCTGACTTACTGAACACCCTGTATATATACAGGGTGATTTTTTTTATCATAACCCACTCAATTACTTGCAGAATAATAATAATTTAAACATTTTCTTTTTTCATTATCTTTAGTTACACATTATTCTTGAATTTTTAACTATGTAATACTTTTTAAGTTCATCCCTTATGCCTTGGAAGGGGGTCAACTTTGTTTTTTTAAATGGTAACACATATTTTTAATTTAATAAAATGTTTGAGTTTTTAATTTAATAGTAAATGGCATTTGAATTTTTAATATAACTT